TGGGTGACCCTTCTGGTTATTTAAAATACCGGTGGCAGAGCCCTCAGAATCACAGTAACTCATTCCACCACAGCAAGACAGACAGGTGGCCGTTTGGTTTTATGAGGCTGTAGAGTTATACAGCTTCAGAAACTCTATACAGGGATGCTATGAGTCAACCAACTCGACAGTGCTCAACACAAAATGTAAGATTATATCTCACAGTGTATTTGTTCATTCTCTGTAACAGGTTATGATTTGATGAATGCACACTAAAAGTGTATCTTCGTAGTAAGTATCTTAGGGTTCTCGAAAGAGACCCCATAACACACACAAACACAGATAGAGAAATATGTAAGGGTTTGGCTTACACAGGCCTGGGAGCTAGCAGGTCCATTCCATAGGTCAGGCAACAGGTTGGAGATTGCATAAGGCTTGTGTCTAAAACCAAGAGGTTAGGCAGTGGACTGGGAATCCCAGCAGGACAGCTGAAGGCAGAGCTCTCCCTCAGGAAATCTCGGCTTTGCCCTTCAGGCCTTTGAATGATTGGACAAGACCCACTCACATTGTGGAAGGTCACCAGCTTTACTTAAACTCAATTGATGGAAACATTGGGGAAATAAAAAAAAAGCCCAAGCCCTCTGCTATCGAGTCGAGTCAGATTCATAGTGACCCTGTATAGGGTTTCTGAGGCTGTAAACCTTTGTGGGAGCAGAAAGCCTCATCTTTCCCCCTTATAGCAGCTGGTGGATTTGAACTGCCAATGGTGTGGTGATCAGTCCAGTGCTTATCCTACAGTACCACCAGGGCTCCTTAAGGAAACATTAACTCCAGAGCAGCATTTAGACCAGCATGTGGCCAGACAGCTGGGCACCACAGGGTGGACAAGGTGACTTCAAAGGAAGCAGCATAGTGACACTTTCCCCGGGCACAGTGGGGAGTGAAATGGCCCGAGGACAGACAGGACATGTGCAGTGCTTTACCTGGACAACGTCAGGTCTACCTGAGCACTCCTTGGATTCGCCAAAGCCAGTGGCCTGGGACCCAACAGAAATAAATGTGGAAGAGGCAGCTCACACTGGGGAGCCAACCCAGCTCCAAGCCCCCTTCCCCAACTTCTGCTCCACCATTGGCGAGCGAGGTGACTTGGGGGTCACTGTCTGACACACACACACAAGTCCTTTCATTCGATGCACAAAGTGCTGCTTTTGAGGCTAAATGGAGACACTTTAAGGAGCTCTGGTAGTGCAGTGGTTACAAATCCGGCTATGAACCGCAAGGTCAGCGGTTCGAAACTACCGGCTATTCTGCGGGAGAAAGATAAGCCTTTCTGCTCCCGTAAAGATTTACAGCCTCGGAAACCCTGTACAGGCTTGTTATGAGTTGGAACTGACTCCATGGCACATAACGCCAACAACGACGGAGACACTTTGCAGTTGGCACGATGTCATTGTCTGCAGATGAATGGAAGCTGTTCTCTTGTGCTTTGCTCTTTGCTCGGTTGTCTGAGGGGTCACAAACCACCTGGGGTTGGGTGAGAGGATGGGCAGGCATGAGGTGTTGAGCCCCCCATCCACTTCATGACATATTTCAGCCCCCTGAATACCTGGGCCCCTGCCCCTGCCAGCTGCTCTCTCTGTCTTGCAGGCGGATTCCCCTGGAAGACGTCCCCGAGGATGAGGCCGAGTGTACCGCCTGGCTGCACAAACTCTACCAGGAGAAGGTCAGTGCTGGGGTGGGGGGGTGGTCCCCTTCAGGATGCACGAGGCCCATTCCACCTGGCCTGGTGCAGAGATGGTTGGCGGTTTGAGCCCACCCAACCTCCTTCTATAAAGATTCCAAACAAAAGCTGACCCTCTGCCATTGTTGAATTCTGACTCACAGTGACCCAAGACAGAGTACAGCTGTTCCCTAGAGTTTGCCAAACTACCATCTTTACGGGAGCAGGCAGCCACGTCTTTGAGCCAACAGCTTCTCAGTTAGCATTCCAAGGCTTAACCCACCGTGCCACTAGGGCACCTCTGGTAGAGATTACAGCCTCGAAAATGCTAGGGGAGCAGTTCTACTTTGTCACGTGGGGCCGTTAGGAGGAGTTGGTAGGACATCCTGGGGTCTGAGCTGTCTCCCCTGTGTTCCATTTGACCCATTCAAAAGAGAACGGAGCAGAGTACAAGTATTTTTTTAAAGGGCATAGCAAAAGGAATGAAACTATTTGTGGGTTTCGAAGAAAAAGTGGGTGGCAACAGCCCCGATAGTCGTTGCATTTTCCTGCCTGTCTCACTAAGTCCCGAGGGGCCTCCATCTGTCTCAGGAGGTCTGCCGCGCTGGTCAGTGGAGTGGCTTCAGGGTCCCTTCTGTCCCTCAGGATTCCTTCCAGGAGGAGTACCACCGGAGGGGCATCTTCCCAGAGACCCCCATGGTGCCCCCACGGAGGCCCTGGACGCTGCTCAACTGGCTCTTTTGGGCCTCGCTGCTGCTGTACCCCTTCTTCCGCTTCCTGGTCAACATGGTCAGCAGTGGGTCCTCCCTGACGCTGGCCAGCTTTGTCCTCGTCTTCTTCATGGGTAAGTGCAGTGTGGAAACAGGAGGTGTCATATTTGGGCTTCACTACCATACAGCTAAGGAGCTCTGGTAGCGTAGTGGTTAAGAATCCGGCTGCGAACCGCAAGGTCAGCAGTTCGAAACTACCAACTGTTCTGCAGGAGAAAGATGAGGCTTTCTGCTCCCATAAAGATTTACAGTCTCGGAAACCCTGTACAGGGTCACTATGAGTCGGTTCTGAATCCATAGCACATAACCACCATCACCACACAGCTACTGTGAGTCTGTGACCAGGAAAAGTCAGATTCCAGGATGCAGGACACATATGGTCAAATGTGCCTTACACACACATACACACACACAACCCAGCCCTACCCTGCCCCCAATTCACACTCACACACATATTCACACACTCACACACTGACACATAGCAGACACACACACTATCCCACCCTCACCCCTCCAAACTCACACACAGACACTCGCTGACTCACATGTTGTTGTTGTTAAGTGCCGTCGAGTCGGTTCCGACTCATAGCGACCCTGTACAGGGTTTCTGAGGCTGTAAATCTTTATGGGAGCAGAACGCCTCGTCTTTCTCACGCGGAGCGGCTGGTAGTTTCCAACTGCTGGCCTTAAGGTCCGCAGCCTGATTCGTAACCACTACGCTACCAGAGCTCCCGTACACACCATCAAACAGCACAGTGCCCACCGATCGTCCTCCAGTGGCAGACGCTCCTCCCTCCCCCGGGCCCAGACAGCTCTGCTCATCGTCCTCGATTCCTCAGCTGAGAAAAACCAGACAGAGCCAAGGAGGGACTCACCCAGAGTGGGGCCAGGCCCGGGTGAGCCGGAGTCCTGCCTCCTTGCTGGGCGGCCACTGAGTGGGCAGGCGGGAATGTTGGCCATTAGTTCCCTCAGGCTGTGTTGGACCGACGTGTGGCTACTTCTTCTTGGCACACAGCTTCCCACCCTACAGATGGGGAAACTGGGGGCTGTGAGAAGACAGGGGACCCTATCTGGATTTTTACATAAAAATGACTGCCCATTGTAAGAGATGCACACGAGGTCAAAGTGTGTAAAACTGTGGACTCTCTCAGGACAGCCCCCACCTTGTGCACCTACTCCTCAGGGAAAACCCAAGTCCACTACAGTTAAGTGGCTTCTGACTCAGAGCACCCCGACGGGACAGAGTAGGGGTGACCCTCTGGGTTACCAGGGTTGTCATCTTTGGCGTCCTGGTGTGGCGCTGAAGGATAAGCACTGGACAGAAAGGTCAGTCAGGGCTGCGAGGAGTCGGGAGCGACTCGACGGGACTTAACAGTTTCTACAGAAGCAGATGGCTTCAACTGTTTCCCATGGTGGATGGTGGTTAGCATGCTATTGCCTGACCCAGTGCACCACTGGGCTCCTACACCCCAGAGAAAACCATTGTTACTAGTTTGGTCCCAAACACATACGCATACACATACAACAACACATTTGTACACATAGCGTTTCTCTTATGTCCTTTTTAACACTTGATAAACCGTGGCCACCTAAACGCGTCCCAACACATAAACCTGCCTCATTCTTCTGATCAAGGAAACCACTTCTAGACAGCTGGGTTACGGCAGGCAACCCCATGCGTGCCCTCTCCTAGTGTAGCGACTGACCCTTACTCCAACAAGAGGCCCGACTGCAGTCTGGTTCAAGGTTAGGAAATACATGTTCAAGAAATGAAATACGAAAAACAAAGAAACATGAAAACCTCACAGCTTGTAGGAGTAACAAGGGCAGAAACAATTGAACAGAGCAGAAACCACCCCATCTAAGAACACTCAGGGCCTGTGTAGACCCGAGACTGGCTTTCTAGGGAAGGTGGGGGGTAGCTGCAGGTGTGCAGTGGGCCTCAGACTCCTGGGCCAGGAGACTGGAATCCGACAAACAGCCCAGTGCCCCCGGGAGCACACAGTGGCTCCTTAGAGATGAAGGTGGCGGGGGACACACTGAGCCTTTGAGGCGGGCACTGCTGCTCTGGGATGCCCCCTCCAAGGCCCACCGTTTTTTGTTACTTATTTTGAGTGGGTGCCTCTCTTCTCATACAAGGCCCTGGAGGAGTGGAGTTCTGTATTTCCTCACCTTTATTCTCAATGTAGGATAAGCAGTGGACTTTGAACCATAAGGTCAGCAGTTTAAGCCCACCAGCTGCTCCAAGGGAGCTTTCTGCTCCCATAAATATACTCAACTTCAGAAACCCAATGCAGGGTCACTGTGAGTCGGGTTTGCTGACTCTCTACACCGTCCTGGGTCCTCTCTGCCCGGGGCCTGTCCCTCCTCTAGGGCAGCTGCTCATCTCCCACCAAGGGTCTGATGGGGTTCGAGTCTTGTGCTGGTCGGAGGGTCTGCCCACTCCACCCACCCCCGACTGCTCCATCTGAAGTCTGAGGCCTTCACAGACCCTGAGAGCAACATTCAGTCAACATGTGTGTCCGACGTGGGAGTTTTCATTCATTTATCCACCTACCGTTTTCAGTTTTTAAACTTTTGTGATTTGGGTGAAAGTTTACAGAGCAAATTGGTTTTCTATTCAACAACACACAATGAAACAGCACTCTTCTCACTTCCTCCCTGGTTTACCGTTTCCACTGGTCCTTTCCTGACCCTTTCCTGCCTTCGGAGCTTTATCCCTGGGAAAGGCTGCCCTTTGGGAAAACCTCATAGGGTTGATTGTTCTAAGGAGTACCCATGCATCTGTTTGATGTTGCTGTTCACCTTAGAAGCCTGACTAGCATTCAGCTGGAAGCTGAGATTGGCGAGGGTGAATTCAGACCCAGGCCTAAGGGCCAGAATCTTGGGGTCCCACCAGTGTCTAATACGTTGGCCTTGTGGTTTTTTACGATCTTGAGCGTCGTTCCACGTTTTACTCCAGTCTACCCAGGAACTCCTATTGTGATCCCTTTCGAGTGATCGGAATGGGAACCGAGCACCAGGTGGCTCCTCAGTCATGAGGAAGGTGGGTGGAGGGTCTGCCCAGGTTTGAAGAGGACCAGCCTGGAAGCCTTGGAGGGTCTTACTGCTCTGGGGTTCCCCAGCCCCGAAGACCAAGGCTTACAGAGCATGGTCTCGGGGGTTATGGAGGCTGGGGGTCTGCATGGCCTAATGGTTCCCACTAATGGTTTGATTTCCATCCCTCATTTGATGGGGAGAGAGCAATGGCTGCACCTTCGATGCCATGCATGAGCTTTTAAGACCCCAATGGCTACTCACCAACGCAGGAGGTGGAACGTTGTCCTTGTGGACAATGTCATGCCAGCTGTCTTCCCTGACATGATATCAGCCATCCCGTTCTTGAACATTCTGCATAAGTCACTTCTTTGTCAGGCACTGTGGTCTGTGCTGATCCCTACCCCCGAGGAGCTCACTGAAGCCACCCTCCCTCCAGGGAGCAGTCCTGGGCCTTGGGCTGCGATGTCCAGCTCCACACTGGTTAATCCGGCTGCTGAGGAGCAGATGACAGAGTGACAGGGACGTCCCATTGCTCACAGACACGGTCCCTGCAGCGTGGGCGCCCCATGCAGCCTCTTAGAAGCTCCTTCCTGCATCCACACCAAGGGGTCCTGAGGTCCACATTGACCAGATTCTGTTTGTCTCCCTGTGTGCTGCAGGTTCAACCCTAGCAGAACGGCTTTGCTCTATTGGCTTTAACGTAGAGCTGGGTGGGTGAGGCAGCTTCAGGAAGTAGCCGGCTCTGGGCTGGCTTCTTTTTCAGTGGCTACCTCACCTGGCTCTTCGGGTCCCTAACACGCTCTTCTGTGTCCACAGCATCCATGGGCGTGCGGTGGATGATTGGTGTGACAGAAATCGACAAGGGCTCTGCATACGGCAACGCCAACAGCAAGCCCAAACCGTGACCCACAAGGCACCCGGCCTCCACAGGGACCTTGGGGACTGGTGACGGCGTGACTCTGCTTGTAGGGGGCAGCGGTCCGGCAGGGCCAGCCCCTCCACCCGGGAAGAGTGATGGCGACAGTGCCTTGAGCGGGGAGCAGGGCCAAGACGCTGTCCATCTTTGGTCCCCACTCGCTTTCGTGGGGTTTCAGTCTCCTTCCTTCTCCTCTGTGTGTGTGTGTTAGTGTTGTGTGTGGCTGTGACAGTGCAGTGTAAGTGTGTGTGTTAATGTGAATCTGAGTGTGTTGTGTGTATATGTGTGTTAGTGAGGGTTGTGTGTGTATGAGTTAGTGTGAATGTGTGAGATTGTTAGTGTGATTGTGTAGAGTGTTGTGTATGTGTGTTAGTGAGGGTTGTGTATGTGTTAGTGTGATTGTGTGAGTGTTCTGTATGTATGTTAGTGAGGGTTGTGTTAGTGTGAATGTGAGATTGTGTGTGTTGTGTGTATATGTGTGTTAGTGAAGGTTGTGTGAATGTGTGTGAGATTAGGCGTTAGTGTGATTGTGTCAATGTTGTGTATGTGTGTTAGTGAGGGTTGTGTGTGTATATGTTAGTGTGAATGTGTGTGAGCATACATGGGTGACAGCTAAGCGTGAGCCTTTGTGTGGGGAAAACCCAAAGGGATGTAGGCGGCGGGGGAGGGCAGGCACCGTCCCTGTAACCCTGACTGGCAGAGGGAAGGGCGCTGTAGGTAAGATGAGACAGTGGCGTCTCCACAGGAATTAAAGTCTTGGTCTGGCTCACTGTGGTTTGTGTTTATTCAGAACGCCTTTCTGCCAGGTACTAGGTGTCCTTGAGGGATGGGTGGCTGGGCAGTGTTCACCCAGAGATCAGTAGTAAGGGGTGCAGTAGCGAGGGCCCCTGGCCAAGAGATGGCGGAGCCCACCAGAGTTTGTTGAGGGGATGCCGGCCGAGCTGCTTCAGCCTCTGGCCTTCCTGAGGACACGCCCAGCTCCCTGAGGAAATGCCATACAAAAACGTGCAGAGAAGCCCAGGTGTCCTGTTACACCTGAGGGCTGACTTTACAGCTGCCATTGGAAGAACATGGTAGCGTAGTGGTTACGAATCGGGCTGCTAACCTCAGGGTCATCAGTTCGAAACTACCAGCTGTTCCATGAGGAAAAGATGAGGCTTTCTGCTCCTGTAAAGATTTACAGCCTCGGAAACCCTGTACAGGGACTCGCTATGAGTGGACTGAATCCACGGCACATAACAACAGGAAGAACAGAAATCGGATTGTCCCCAAGCAAAAACTCGCCCCCCACCCCCAGTCTCCTGGCCAGGGTGGAGTGATGGTGGTGGTGGTGTACCGTGGAGTCGGTTCTGACTCACAGCGACCCTGCATAGGATTTCTGAGGCTGTAGATATTTACGGGAACAGACAGCTGGTAGTTTTGAACTTCTGACAGTGAGATTAGCAGCCCAACTTGTAAGCACTTTGCATTCTGCAGATTCCCTAGCCTTGAGCCCACGTGCCAAGAAAGACATGGGAACATTGAGTATTTTGAATTGACAACCATTCCTGAGCATCCTCTTAGGCCGGGAGGAGCCATAAGAGCATGAATGGAGACATTGCCTCCCCTTTGAGCAGGAGTGTCTCCCCCGAGGCTCAGCTGCACCTGGTGTTCTGCTATGGTTGTTCCAGAAGAGATGAGGTGTTTCACACACTATTGGACTGTCATTTAAAGGTGAACATTTCCTCAGTTACTCGGGAAATGTGTTACTACGGACCCGGGGAACCAGTGGTGCCTGGCGTTTTAGAACATGCTGAACGTCACGGTGCCCCAGCCCCGTCTCATGCCACCCCTGTTCCCATGTCAGCTGCACAAGCTCAGGGTTATGGGACACACACTGGGCCACATCCTGGGCCACACAGGGGACTCCTGCTCAGCAGCCCACGCCAGGCTCCACCACAGTCTGCTGTGAGTCCCGTCCACCTCCAGGTCTCGGCTTCCTCACCTGCTGAGTGCCTGCCTCTTGGGTTCGTTCAAGGGTGGAAAAGACGTTCTCTCTGAACCACACAGTAATCTTTGACACCTGAGGTCAAGGTTACGGCTCTGTCCAGGCTGTTGCTACTCAGAAATGCCCCGAGAGAAACGCACACGTTTTAAATGGCGTTCTTTCCCTGCCACCTGTCCATTCAGTATAGAGGAAATCCAAGTTCTCAGGCGTCAGGTTTCTCCTCCCGCCCAGAGACATGTAGCTTAGTTTTCTTCTGTAACAAATGGGTGCTGGCACCAAACACCAAAAGCAAAATCAATGAAAAAAGCTGGTGCCTTGGGGCCAAGTGGGGGCCATGGGCAAAGGGGCTGTGTGAAGTAGACAACCAGGAGCTGGTTTGAGAACTGCCTTAGGGAACTGGACTATGATGCTGGACAAAGTCCTGTCACTGAGCAAGTGGGGAGCAGTGTCTCCCCTTATCCCGACTCAAACCCTGGGCCCTGGGAGGCCCTCCTGTCCTCCCACCGTCCAGGCCTCCTCAGAACTGTCAGGAAGCTCCTGTGTCCATTGTCTCCATCTCAGCAGACCCAGGTCACCTCTGAGGACGGCGGCTCACAGGCAGGGACCTCACGCATGCACAGAGTGGCCCAGATACTGCAGGAGGGGCTGCCCGAAGGCAGAGGTTCTACCACCATCAAGTGTTCTCAGGATGATTCCGGGGGAGGAGGGGACATGCACTGTGTGTTTTAGTCTGTCTCATAGACAGTTCTGGAGAGATCATGTGATTTTTCACAGGACCACAGAGTATAATGAAATCTCCCATGAATGCTTGTCTCCAAATGCACAGAAAACCTTGTGACGATAGCTGATGTTCAAAAATATCTATTTCAAGTTGTGTTTAATATTACCGTAAGTGGTTCGGAAAGATGGGGATTTAAATGTGAGATCAAATGCTAGCTGACTGTCTAACCCAAACTTACCAACAGTGGGTATTGCCAGACACAAAGGGGCCCAGGAAGCTCCTGGCTACCTGACCTGGTGGAGGATACCGTGGCCTGGTGAATCCCGGTTACCTGTCCCGGTGGAAGAAGCGGTGGCATAGTATTGCTTAGGAGTCCTGGTGTGGTGCCGCAGGTTAATGTGCTGGACTCTAAGGTAGGTTTGAACTGCAAGGTTGGACGTCAAGCAGCTCAGCTGCCCAGAGGCGCTTCTGGTTCCATTCCAAGCCCCACACTGAAGGCCAGGCTGAACCTGAATGGCCTCTTCAAAGCCTGGGGTACAGCCTGAGGGGTGGGAGGGTGGCGGAGACAGCACTACCAACCAGTGCAGCACTCATTTGTTACCCATAAACACTTGCAGTTTAACCTGTGCAGCTAGTGTGGGGATGCTCCCTGGCTCACATTGTGCCCTGCCAATAGGAGTGAAATGTCACGGGCCACGGAATCGGCCCCTACTCATAGCGACCCCCGGTAGGGTTTCCAGGACTGTAAAACTTTTACAGAGCAGAAAGCTCCATCTTTCTCCTGAGGAATGGCTGGTGGGCTAGAACTTCCGACCTTGTGGTTCACAGTTCAGTCCTTACCCTATGGAGCTCCAATGCTCCAATGATAATCATTAGATTTTCATTGTATTTGAATTGCCTTTCCTGAAGCAGAAGTAAGGACCTGTTCTTACATCCGCCAACATTGTTGTCATGTGTCATCAAGTCGGTTCCAACTCAGACTCTGTACAGGGTTTCCAAGGAGCAGCTGGAGGGTTTGAACTAGTAACCTTGGGGTTAGCAGTCCAGTGCTTATCCTACAACACCACGCTAGGACTCCTTACATATGGTTAGTCCCACATCAAACCATCAGTACCTGGAAGTTTCAGAGCTATAAGTGAAAACAACGTTCTTCTCCTGTGAATTCCAGGCCAGGTTATTACTTAGTTCCTGGGCCTCATTCCATGTTAATATAAAAGAATATGAATGAATTAAAAAGTATCAAGCATCTACTTAGAAATTTTCTGTATCCAGAAACTATCTGAACCTTTCTAGGGCTTACTTCCGCTTTTGATTCACCAAGACTCATATAACTTTTACATTGTGGTTATTGTTGAATGCCATCGACTTGGTTTCCAAGGACCAGCTGGTGACTTTGAACCGCTGACCTTAAGGTTCAAACAGGCCTTGCAATCCAGTGCTAACCCTACAGCATCCACTTTTACATTAAGTTTTCTTTGCTCATTCAGAGACAGTCCTGTGTTACATGCTGGAGTGAACGGACCATTTTGAGTTCCCGGCAGCTCCAGTCGGAGGAATTTTAAGGAGGTGGAGAGTGTGACTATCAAGTTAGGGTTGCTGGCTAATAACTCCTTGGGGTTTCTAAGAGGAATTCAATGATACAAACAGTACGTTCTCTTCTTTTATTCCTTGGTGTTACTTTTACCCAGATTGCCAAACATTCTAGGACATCCAGTCAAGTTCCACAGAGTCTCAGCACCTCTGTTGTGTCTCTGTCTCTGTCTAGGAAAGCCATGGGGGAGATGTAGAGTGGGGTAGGTTTCTAGTGGATACAAAGTCTCAGACTCATGAGAACAATGTCAAAATGGAAGCATTCACACCTGGGATAGGTCACTGCTCTGGCAGGTCGGGGCTCTTCAGTCGCTGCCAGCATGCTCAAGGGACAGAACCCCTCTTGCTCGTCTTGGTTGCCTGAGGACAGAACGTGGGAAATGGCAGAACTAAGCTTGGGGAAGGTTATGTGAAATGCTCGCCTGAGTCGGGAGGTGCTTAGGTTCAGGAGACTGCTAGGCGCCTAGACACAACCCTGGAGGGAGGAGATGTGGATGAAGCCAGGGCCTGCTCTGCTGAAACTTCCTGGAACGGAGCCTATGGTGCACACCAAGAGGAGAGCGGTCAGGATCGGACCCCACACAGGACCTTGACTAACGATGCACACGCCTCACTCAGCCAGCGAGTCACAACTTCAGGTCGGTCTCCCTGGGGAGGTGCATAGAGCTGACACACGGGCTGTAAAGCTGGC